GATGCTGCGTTCGCGAGTAATCCATCCAAGAGAGAGCTGTATGAAAGCTCTGTTACACATCATTTTAGTGTAACTTTATCATTTTCTTTCGCTGTGAAAACATTCGGAAAGCTACGATTCCGCTGTTTCACGTGATATGTGTTGCTTCTCGCTATGACGCACGGTCGCGGAGAAAAACCATAGAGAAGAACAGTTGTGAATTTGGACGCACTATGCGTCGTGCTGGATGGACTCCTTGGCCTGCTGCTGCTGCATTTTCCCCAAAAAACGGGACGGGTGGCAACTGTAGTGTCAGTCCTACTGCAGCAGCGCGGACTTTATTTTGAAGGTCACAGTCGGATGCAGTGTGTGTGTGTGTGGGTGTGTGTCCTGAGCTCCACAGTGAATGTTGAGTGTCGGTGAGTGTGAGCGGACAGAAACAGAGAGATGTCCCCGCTGCTGCTGCTCCTGCTCGGCCTGCTGGCCCTGATCCTCTGCGTCCTCCGCTCCAGGACCAGGTCAGTACTGTCTCCGTCTGTACCGCGGTACTCAAGTACTCGGATACTTAATCTGAGCACACTGCGGTCAAATCTTTACTCAAGTATAAATGTCTGAGGGTTACCAGAGGTGGAGGCTCAAATACCGCAGTGTGTGACACAGGTAGGCTCAGCGCAGGGGCGATTCTAGGATCAGAGGTTTCGGGGTGCTGAGCACCCAGATAGCTGCCCGGCCAGTCAAGATAAATTTCACTGTTTTGTACATTTTAACTCAATTTCATTCCCACATTTGTGAAAGAAAAACACTTTTTGGGAAAGTCTGTGACTAAACCATCAAATGTGATAAAGGTTATTTAAATGCTGAGTCACAGGAAAAGAGGAATGGAGTGGAATCATAAAAGAAACATATCGTAACCCTGATTTCTGGAGGAAGATACAGCAGCTCCTCAACATACACATAAACAGTATGTACTAGTGTTGTCACGATACCAAAATCTTTGTTTCGGTACCAATACCAATATGAATTTCAATACTTTTCGATACTCTTCGGTACTTTTCCTAAGGAAAAGTCCTTTTGGATACAAACCTTTAGAACAATAAATAGTAGGGGTGTAAC